TTCAGCAGTACTGCTAGCCAGCCCATATCCAGATGCATCCCATCCATTCACTGTGGATTAATTGGAATCCACCGCATGCATGTTTTCTGTTTATCCTTTGGGTCAAAACTCATAGCTCATCATGCGCAGAAGATATCATTATCACTTGTCTCTTTCTATCCTCATTTATTTCTTTCTCCATGTAGAATAATATGCTCTTGAAAAATAAACTCAATTTTTGGATGTTTGAAGAAAAGAGCAACCGATCCTTCCGTTAGAGAATAATCGGCTGGTTAAATTAAATATAATATAATTACTGTTTAAATTAAATTTTTTTGAATTAATTTAATTTCTTAATCATTTACAACTTTATATCTATAAAAAAAAATTATAAAAGAGAGAAAATAATTAATAGCGCTTAAAAAAACACCTAATAAAAATATATATTCCTTTTAATCTTTTTTTTTTATATTTGATTTTTTTATTTTGCAAGATATTATTCCATACCTACCCTTCTTCCAACAAGTGGTATCATATCTCAAGTTTAATTATTTAACATGGTCCATCCAAACTTTTTATTTTATTATCCTAGGTTCATAAAGGACAATTATGAAACTTGATATATTAAAGTAAAAGCATCATTAAATTAGGATATATGGGAGACAATTGAAAAAGGCTTTGAAGAGCCTATAGAAGAGAGGTCATGCAAAAGGTATAGAAAAAAGATTAGCAAACACTAACAAACATTCACAAATATAGGATGATGTCTCTTTTGAGATAGTGGCCAATGCAATCGCTGTCAAGCAAGCATAAGAAATTTTACAAGAATCAAACTAAAGAGCTGATAATGTGAGAAACGTAAATCTATAAAAGTTATGTGGTGACTTTGAAAAGTTACATGTGTTTGAATTGAAGAATATTTCATAATACTTTGCAGGAGTATTCGTCATATAAAATAAAATAAAAAGATATGAGGAGAAAATGAAAGAGATATATGTGGTAGAGAAAATCTTATACTCGCTGCAAAACAAGTTCTATTATATGGTGGTCACGATAAAAAAAGGTCACAAAATATGAATGTTTTTTCAATCCAAGATCGTATGGGAAAATTACAAGTCTATAAAGAAAGAGTTAATGAGATTCAAGAGGATGTTGGTGCACAAGCATTTTTTTCAAAGCAAGATGGTTCTGGATATTTACAAGGGGGTAAAGGACGTGGACAAAACAAAGAAAGAAGAAGAAGAGGCAGATTTAGAAGAGAAGATTGTGATAGCCTTAACAGGTCAACTAGTTAACTGCATAAAGCAAATCAGTCAACTAGTTACACTCATAGTGGCAATCCAAAATCCAGGTTTGATACATCAAAAGTCAAATGCTATAATAGTTAAAAGGTATGTAATTAAGCTACAGATTGTTGAAGTTCAATCAAGAGGATTGAGAAGAATGCAAATATAGTGATATAAGAAGAAAATGAAACCACCTATTACTAGTGCATGATAAGAGAACATAAGATAAAGAGAACATATGGTATTAGATAATGAAACTAGCAACCATATATCTGGAGACAAAGATAAGTTTATGGAGCTTGATGATGCAATTAGAGGTAATGTCACCTTTGCGAATCATTTAAAAATTATCATTAAAGGAAATATGCGATCTTGATTAAATTAAAAGATGGAAGTCATCAAATTTTGATTATGTCTATTATATATCAATGGTAAAAAGCAACATTTTGAGTTTAAGATAATTGCTAAAGAAGGGATATGGGAATAAGATGAAAGATCATATTTTGACATTACTAAAGGAGTTATGATTGCAAAGTTACACATGATAAAGAATAAAATGTTCTTGCTAAACATAAAGACAGATGTGTCTAAATGATTAAATACATGTGTGAAGAATAAGACTTGACTTTAGCATATGAGACTTGGGTATATAAACTTTGATAATTTGAAATGATGGTATAAAATGAGATTTTAAAGGGTCTACCATCCATTATACATCCAAATCAATTATGTAAAAAATGTTTAGTGGGCAAGTATTTTTGTAAGAGCTTTTTGAAAAATTCTACATCAAGAATAAGTCGACCCCTACAAGAAATATATGTTGATATTTGTGATCTTATCAAACCATGTTTATTTGGTAAAAATTATACTTTCTACTTTTTATTGATTACTATAGCAGAAAAACTTAGGTACGCTTTTTAAAAAAAAAAGATTTTATATGTTTAGTTGTTTTAATAAGTTTAAGGTATTAGTTGAAAAAAAAGGTGATTATTCTATAAATTCACCTAAGATAGATAGAGGGTAAATATTGTTCTAATGATTTTAGTAAGTTTTATGAAGATCATGGTATAAAGGGATTTCTAATGGTGCCTAGATTCCTACAATAAAATGGCATGGCGGAGATAAAAAATAAAAGCATCATTGATATGATAAGAAACATGTTTAAAATAAAAAAGATGCCTAAAAGTTGTGGGCCAAAACTGTAGATTGTGATAGGTGTCTTACTAAAGGTTTGAATGACATGACTTTATAAGAAGCATGAAGTGGAAGAAAACAAAGTGTTTCTCACTTGAAAGGTCTTAGGAGCATGGGTTTTATGTATGTAGATGATCAAGTAAGGACCAAACTATATAATAAAAGGAAAAAGATGATCTTTGTGGGCTATGAATAAAAGTCCAATGGATACATGCTTTATAAAACTAATAAAGGAAATATAATGAATAATAGAGATGTTGAGTTCAATGAAGAAAGAGCATAATACTAGAAGATAGATGATGATGAGAAATATAATTTTTTACCAATTCTTGATGAAGAGAAGGAAAGATATGAAGATCATCAAGAACCTATAGTTACACATTTATAAACTCAAATGCGCTTAACTTCTTCTTTTTCTTCTAGTTGAAGCTTAAGTAGTGGCACTCCATTAAATCTATTAAAAAAGATGAAAAAAACCTTGATGACTTATATGAGATAACTGATCAAATTGATGATAATGTAATACTATATTGTCACCTTATTACATGTGATCCTATAGTGTTTAAAGAATCAATAAAATACAAAAAATAAAAAATTGCCATGAATAAAAAGATTGCATCAATTGAGAAGAATGACACATGAAAATTATTTCCTAGACTAAGAGAAAAGAAGCTACTATGTAACTAAACATGTTGTTATACTTGGTACACAAATAGGGCTCTATGTTGACATGCGTGAACTTCTTTGCTCCTCCCATTTTCTATGTAATGAAAATTGAATATACTTAGCAATAATAGTAGATTAATAAATAATACAACAAGCATGAGATTGAATATAATAAAGTATTTGCTCCAGTTGCTAGATTAGAAACCATTCAATTCATCATTGTTACTATTACTCAACATAGATGAATAATCTATCAAATGGATGTCAAATCATTATTTTTTAATGGTTTTTTTAAAGATAAAGTCTACATTAAGTAACCTATGGAATATGAAGTGAAGAGATATAAAAAAAATGTATTAAAGTTAAATAAAGCTTTGTATGAATTAACACCAACCTCAAATGTATGGTACAATCGCATTAATGACTATATTTTAAAGAATGGATTTGTTAAATGTCCTCATGGATATGTTATCTATGTAATGATCAAAGAGAATGGTGATACTTTTATTGTATATTTGTATATGGATGATTTTATCTTTACATTAAATAATTCACAAATATTTGGAGATTTCAAGTAAGCAATAATAAAGGAGTTTGAGATGACGGACATTGATTGTATAACATGTTACTTAGGTATTGAGATCAAACAATGAGATGATGAAATCTTTGTAAGCCAAGAGAAGTTTGCGAAATAGATTTTCAAGAAGTTCAAGATGGAAGATTATACAAAAATAAATATTCCAGTTAAGTGTAGAATGAATGTATCAAAGAATGATCAAGGGAATGAGATAAACTCTATAACATTCAAAAGCCTAGTTGAGAGTTTGAGATATTTTACATGCACTCGTCCAAATATTGTTTTTGGAGTAAGACTTGTGAGTAGATTTATGAAGACATCAATCATAATGCATGTCATAACATTAAAGAGAATTCTTTAGTATATCAAATGTATTATTAATTTTTGTTTGTTCTATGGTTATTCCAATGACTTTGAGCTTGTGGGTTATAATGATTATGATAAGTCTGAGGATATGAATGATAGAAAGAGTACCATGATTTTTTTTTTCTATATAGGAGACACAACATTCACATGGTGTTCAAAAAAACAATATATAGTTACTTTGTTAACATTTGAAGCTAAATATATAGTTACTATATCATGTGTTTATCATTTCATATGGCTAGAAAATTATTAAAAGAACCGTGAATGCTACAATAAAATCCTAAAAAGATTTATGGGGACAACTATTAGATTATTAGTCATTGTCTTAGTTAAAAATCCAGTTTTTCATGATAAGAGTAAGTATATTGATATAAAATTTTATTACCTCAGAAATTGTATTACAAATAAAAAAATTGAAGTTAAATATGTAAAGACACAAGTTCAAGTCATGAAACCATTCGACCAATTAGATTTAATAAATTAATAAGCCAGTTAATAAATAATTAAACAGTTCAATCAGCAAAATATAATTTTTCTTGTTCAGATTATAATTTATTCGTGTTTATTTAATTTCTTAATTATTTTGAATTTTATACCTATAAAAAAACATGTAATTCAACATTATTAAATAATATAAAAAGCAAAAGAAAATATCTGAGAGAACTGCTTTGATTTATACCACGCCTATCATTCTTCCACCACATGTTGCCATTATAGTTTTGCTGTTTTGTTATAGAAATTATGGACCTTGGAGACACCAAATGTTCAAATGGGTCTACTTTCTTTCTTGCCATCATCAGTTTTTCCTTTCTATTTTCTTTCATCTAGTTTATATAACATTCACAGCAGATTGCTAGTTAATGCCTACATCATTAACGTCATGAGAATTTTTTTAAAAGGAGAAGTGTACATAAAATATTCAAACAGAGAGATGGAAAATTGAAACCCTTTTCATTCAGTTCTTTTGTATGATCTAACTAAGTATCACTAATTTTACACAGTACAGCAAGGGTGATAAGAACCCCAGAAAACAAGAGACGAGAAACAAATTCATGATCACTTTCTTGGTTTAATATTGATCTTGGCTTTTAGAGAAGACTTGCTATGATTGGTAGGTGTTGGGTGAAGGTGTTGTTCTTGAGTACTCTTTTGTGTCACTTTAGACTGAGATTTCTTACTTCTCTTCATTCCAAAGGAAGAAGAGAGCTTCCTCTTTTCGTTCTCCCTTATTGACTCCAACTTCGGTTTCCATTGGCGTGACCCAACAAGCTGCGAATAATCTTTCTCTAACTGAGGAGTAGTGCAAACTCTGCTTGTTGGTCTACAATTTCTTGAGCTCTCATCTTCTTCACTCTCCTTGACTTTACCTTCCTCCATTAATTGTGATAAAAACTCATCTGATACACGTATCCTCAAACACCCATTTGGAGATTTTTGAATATCAAAAGGTTGGCAAGTGGCTGCCTTTTTTAGAAACGCATTTCTTGAAGATGATGGCTGAGGCTGTAGCGAGGAGCTGGCGAAGGAAGCTATAGTGACAAAAGACAACACAGATTGGAAGCAATGTTTAGGTAGAAGAAAGTACTTGTGGCCTAATTGAAGCAGGTCATTCTCAGAAAGAGCTGGGATCTTTTGGCCTATATAGAATGAATCTGAATGGCAAACCAAGTGTTTAGGAAACTCTACCATCAGCTCAGAAACATAGATTGGTCTGTCATAGATCTTCACTAGCCCGTCCGATCTTATAAGCTTGATTGTACCCGCCGGTGGCTCAGACTGGATTTGCAAGCATGATATAGGATTGCCCATCAAATGAAAACACCACGGGATGATTTGCAGATTCAAAAACCTTATACCCATTTCCACACGAACCAGCTTTAAAGGTAACGATAGAGAGAGACGTATGTGTGGTGAGTAAAAATATATGGTTCACTTTTGGTTCATTAGTAGATGATGATTAAATAGTAACAAGTGATGAGAAAGGAGAAAGGTTTCTTTTTTATTTCTACTTGTTAGCTTTGCTTTGCCTTTTGAGAGGTGTGGCTGAATGAGAGTGTTTTTATACAAGAAAAATGGGTTTTTGAGAAAGGGTAGCTTGGTTTTTAGTGAGAGAGAGACAGAGAGGGAGGGAGGGAGGGAGGCCCTGGAAAAGCCCTTTATTTTTTAGCACAAATTAAGTACTTTGCATTTGTTTTTGTTGTGTTTGAAACTTCGACTACCAAAGTTTGACTGGATCTTTTTTCTTTTCTTTTTTGCCACATCCTTTTCACCGAACGCCAATTGAGGCCACAGGAAAGTTTTTGAAATGTAGATCCCGCCTTTACCACTAGGTTTAACATAAATCTATGAACCTGCAGATTCTCCCACCCTGCTCCATGCCTGGGGCTGCCTCTATGATTACTTTTCAACCAATTTTATAATAATCGCATTATTTGTTATTATCATCATCATCTCTTCTAGCAGATGGTCTTCTCTGACTCAAGAAATCGGCTTCTCGGATTCGAGTTCTTTTACCGTTTCAACACATGGTTTGGTAGAATTTTTGGCAGAATAGTATAAAATCCTTTTTTAGAAAAATAACATGACTTAAATACAATGGTGTTTTTGAATGTTAGTTTTGTATAATACTGTTACTGTGAATAACAGTTGTTTAGTTCAAAAAACAAAATGCATCTCCTGTGCAAATTAATTTACATATGCAAATGTTAACCAAAATATCTATAAATATCTAATGATGAAAATATAAAATTCAAGATATAATGATAAAAAAAATAGATAAATTAATGTGGCCCGAGAAAAATAGATGAAAAAAAAAGGTAATTGATGATATACGGGGGTTTTGTTTTCAATACATGTAGACAATTAAAAAGATTTTAATGAGATGATGTTAACCAAAATATCTATAAATATCTAAAGATGAAAATATAAAATTCAAGATACAATGATAAAAAAAATAAATAAATTGACGTGGTCAAAGAGAAATAGATGAAAATAAAAAAGGATAATCAGTGATATACGGGAGTTTTGTTTTCAATACATTTATACAGTTAAAAAGATTTTAATGAGGTAATTATAATTACATCTTAGAAGATTATTAAACAAGATTTTAATTGATTAAGCATTTTATTCAGAATTAATTTAAAATTAATATTATTTAGAAATTTTATTTAGAGTTAATTTATGATTAAAATAATTTTATGATCGTTCAAGAAAAGATTATAATTGTCTTGTCAAGATATTTATAACCGTTTATAACCATATCAATTATATTAAAAATGAAGCCCTGATACATCTTTGATAACATATTATTTCTTTTTATTTTTTCCTTTATTTTTTCTTTTATTCTTTTTTTTTATCTCCTCAGCTTATCTCTCTTTCTTTTTTTTTGGCTATTAAATCTTGAATTTAATCTCTCATGCATGTGAATTAATTTGTATAAAACATGCATTTTAGCTTCGGTTGTGTTTTAAATTATAATATTTTTCTAAAACTTTTATAACCTATGTTATTTTTTCAAAGCTTTAAACAAACAGTGTCATTAAAAAAAAAAGATCCCATATTAGTAGAAAACATAATAATCTTATGGACTCTTCCTAGGCAAGACTGGAATTACGGTAATATTTCAGTTTAATTAACGGCACCATCTACCGAAAATCCAATGACATGGTCAACGGTCATGGTCTATTTTTTTTTTTTACTATTATAAATGAAGATTTTGAATTCAAGGTTTTTTGGAAGGGTTAAATTGTATCGGGAAATTAATATTTTAGTTTATGGCAAAAAAGGGAAAGATAAAACAGATGGCAGAAACAAAAAATTTAGTAGAAAAAAAGTTGTTGAAATTTAAGATTTCTTAAGAGAATGGAATTCTAATACTAATTAAGTTACAGATCATTGATTAAAAAAAATATATTGAACCGATATATTTAGTAATATATATATATATATATATAAGAACACTGCAGAAAATGCCTTAAGCTTGAAGTTACAAAAAAAGGAAAAAAAGAAGAGAGATCCTGGTTCTGGTGAGCAAACCCAGAGCATATTCAGAGGCACCCGTCCATCTACTCTATGTATTTGTCGTTTGCTTGCATGTCGATTTCTACGTTTCTCATCTCGCCATGAATGTACGGTCCATGCTAATAAAACTAGATTATCACATTACATCGGAATACTTTTATATATTTGAATATAACTTTGTAGATAAACAAAGAATATCTCTTTTTTCTCTCCTCTGTGCTCCTTCATGTGTTGCCGTGTCTGAGAAAACGGAGACAATTACAGGCCACTGATCTCGATCAATGTAATCATCCCATTGACCATTCTCTACGAAGTTACAGAGAACTTCGATATATATTATACTTATCATCATCCTAGGAGTTGTTCCTGGATTTCACAACAATCAAAAACTTTATCCTATATATATGACAATAAACAAAATTGAAAATCACCGTTAATCGAAGCACTTAAATGCAGGGTCTCCCTTTGATTCTTTATTTATGCTTTTATCGGGGAGTAAAAAGAAGAGAAAGAAATCCAGGGCAAGTTACGATAACCATAGCACGATGGAGGAACGATACAGGCTATGTATGCCATACATCATGACAAAAAAATAAAATACGAGGCCCTCCTCCATGCCTGAACTCGTGCGCTAGGTAGAACAATTGGTGCTTTAATACGTTTTAACAATAAAAATGATTAGGATATACCTGTGAAAGATTTCACTGGGTTAAAGGGAGCTGGGGATGAGGATAGCATAGCAGCATGGTGGTTTAGAGCTGGTTATACATCCACCATCCTCACCTTTGTTTATCGCGGATGCATGGGATACAGAAAAAAAAACTTTTCCTCCATCGAAATTGAGACCCCCTCAAAGAATCTCTATTAATAAAATTATATATGTTTTTTATAATCACATGTAAGATATCTTAAAATCAGGCTGATACATAGTATAAAAATAAATACTAAGTGGATAAAAGAAAAGGAAAATTGAACTTTACTATGATTTTGATATTTATTTAAATTAGATAATAGAAAGATAAATCCAATAAGATCTTTATTTTAAAAAATCAATTATCCAGAAATTAAATATAAGACCGAAAAAAATATGTGGATGTAAATAATTAGGTGTATATATATAGATTCTTCATGAGACGGTAGGCATATCCGGCCCCCACCCTTATCCGAATCCCCCAACCCTCTTCCCATCACGTTAGGTGTTCTTGAGTCCTAGTTGGAAAAGTGAGATTCTCAGAAGTTTGATTTTTTAAGAGACTAGAATTCTTAAAATCTTACTTTCCAGGCCATACCATTTTATATAAAAAATTAGAATATGAAAATTTTAAAATCCAATTCTAATGAATATATATATATATATATATATATATATATATTAAATTATGAAGTTTGATATAGAAAACTTGGATTTAGATGTGTTTTAAACGATTATTTTTCACACATATATGATCTGATTTCTCAAATGTAATGACAACAATTATAAAGATTGAAATAGATATTTATACTCGTTGATGAGTAGTTAAGGGTATAAAATTTGAGGGGTATTTTAAAAAAAAATTGTATATTTTTTATAAATATAAACATGAAGTCACCTTCACACATCCACATTTCTAAGGTAAGATCTCGAAGTATGCTTGATTCTATTGAATTATTTAAGATGTTTAATTTATATTTTAGGATGTTGATTAGGTTTAAAATTATTTATATGAGGACTAGATTGAGTCATAGGATTTTGTGAAACAAGTTGAACCAATTTTTAATGATATACAGTTTTGGGAGACTAATAAATCAGAATCTTAAAATCCTGATCAACTTAACTAGCTGGCTTGATAGTTTTGATTGATTGGTTTGCTAATTTTAACAGTTTATGATTTTTTATTATTTTGGTTGGCATATTTTACTTATTTCTATGAGGATTTCTTTTTAGCATGTATTAGAGTGTTTTATTATTATACTATTTTATTTCAAGTATGGATTTTATATTACAATAATTATTATATATTGTTATTTGTTTTTCTATTGATTTTAAAGAATATCTCGAGACTTAATGAATACTATAAGATTTTATATAATTTGGTTTACAATAAATACATTTGAAGGTGCTGTCATGATACCGCTATTACGAGACAAAAATAATTAATTATACAAGCAACACGATCTACAAATAAGATAATGAATGATACTGGTCAGCAGTATTGACATATTTGGTTGGTTTACAAATAATCAAACAATAAAGGATCAGATCACAGCGCCATATGCAGTATATACGACTAGTTAAACAGTGGAGCATAACAGCCAGTTGCACACTGATCAAGGCCATCGATGCCTTCCGTGTTCGCCACACTTCAAGAATTAACGTTGCGTACGACAAGGATTTGTGTCCCTCTCGAGTCTTGACGCTTGAAAAAACTGAGATCATTGCCAATTTATTTACGCAAGGAAAATCCTCTGGATTCTGGAAAAATCAGTGATGGATTTGGGATTCATTCAACTGTTGACCATGTTCATGTTCCAAGGTGGAATAATCTGCTTGCATGCTGCATTTCACCTTCAAATAATCTCTGCAGAGAAACCCACATAAGCTCCCGATTTGGTCCAGTTCTAACCAAAATAAAAAAGATTCTGAAAAAATAAAAATAAGAGAGTGATCTGTGACCTGCGCTCCCATGCGTTTCAAATCAACGCTACTGGTAATTGAGATTTTTTTAAAAGGTTTTTATAAATAAAAATCTTTTCAAATAAAATAAATTTAGTCAACAAATTAGACTCAAAGAATTTTATAAAGCTATATGTTTCATTATAAACAATTTTTTATAATAAAAATATTAAAGATATGATAAATAATAAGGTTCAGAAGAGATAAATATTCTATCAACCATTCCATAAAAAAATATTTTATATATTTTTTAAAATAAAAATATATAAATTTCATAATATTAACTAATTTAAAACAAACCTACATTTTTATTTCTCAAATTTAAATTTTTTAAAGTTATTTATTATCTTAAATCATTTAATATATTTTTTAATATAAATATATTGATTTTATAATAAGAGGGTATTTAAGTTCTTTCATTAAAACTATTTTTAAAAGTATTTAAGTTTTTATTATAAGTATGAGTTTTTTAGATTAAAAAGAAGAAATTAAAAATTTGTTATTTCTACATCTTAAATTTTAAGATATTATTTTAGAATGACATTACAAAAATATTAATGAATTTTATTTTATTTTTTTATAAAATTAAACTCCAACGATTGATGAAAAATCATCTACTATTTTATTTGGAGCTTTAGTCTGGTTGACCAATACTCTTATTTGTTAAATCATCATCTAAGATTCTGATTTTAGAGAGCCTGCAAGAAATATATATATATATATATATATATATCAATTTGAATGTGATTATCCAATTTAAGAGCTAATCAAGGACTTAGTTTTGATGCATCAATTCCATCCTTTAAAAATAATTCAATATCTAGCGTGAATTACGGGACTCCAACTTTAAAAAAGAAGTACATGTACTTTGGGAATTCTTACAATCCATGACGTGGACTCTCAAAATCATAATAATTAAGTGAAATTATAAGATGTGGTATGTAAAAAATAGAAACATTGATGAGGTGTCATTTAAATGAAGAGGTTGTCGTTACGATATACATTTTAAGTGATGATGTGGCAAATCAGTAATGACGTAAATGACAAGGTGATAATTATGATATGCATATTAAGTGATGACGTGGCAAATTAGTAATGATGTTGTGCTAATGACATGGAAAAACAATCTTAGATGTTGACTGGGTTGAGTAGCGTGGCCGAGGAAGGTGAGGAGGGTGTTTCAAGCCTAGTTTTACATTGCGTTGTGTTTTTAAAGTTTTTCATTTATTTTTTTTAGTTTTTAAAATATTTTTGAATAATAACTTAATAATTTTAAAAAATATATATTATTTTAATACATTCTCAAACGAAAAATTAAGTAAAATTCCCTCCTTTTATCTTTATCTTTACTACTGCATGGTGTTCTGGCTCGTGACGCTTTTTGGCAATTTGGATTTAATAGGCTATACTAAATACAAATTTGAAGAAAGATCGGCATGGAAGATGGTGCCTTGAAGAAGAATACAATATCCAGGACCACCTCAGGCACTTTTACGGACTTGAATTTCACGGATGAACTCTCGGTTCAAGGATATGGGTGCAAGAGAACTGGAGTCAAACTTCTTCACCATATTTGCCTTTCATAGGGTCTAGTCATTTCATCATAAAGAAACGCCATCTCTCTCTCTCTCTCTCTCTCCGGCGAGAAAGATATTAGATAAGTACTAATTTAACTAAATTCTTGAATATAATTGAATTGATTAGATTTTAAATTTATGTTTTTAGAGATTTTTGGTTTAAATTTTATAAATTTTAGAATTATTTAAGATTTATATAATTATTAATTTTAAAATTTATTAAATTAATCGAGTTATATATAAACTGTTTCGGATATCCTTTCAAATTTATAAATTTTTTCATGATATATAATTATTAATTTTAAAATTTATAAAATTAATTAACATACATGTAACACATATTATATTAATTTAAAAAAAAAGTTAAATAGGTTCATCAGTTCGATTGAAAAGCACAGGACACCATTCTTCCCGAGCATTGCCTTGTCAGCCTTTAAAGGTTAAAACGAAGAGGTGGGGTGGTCCTGCCTGGCATGTGAACAAGGAAGAACGTGTCAAAGATGTCGTCGCGGATTCGAGAAGGGTTAGGTGACTGTATCATTCACCGAATCTCTACTTGAATACAATCCAGACGTGGGGGATAAGGTCTCCCCAATCTCTTACCACAGCAGTGCACGTGTTTTTGCCCAAAGTGTACATGACTAACGTGCTGATCAGCACAAATGCCGGAATCGACTTCTTCTCAGACGAAGAGATTGAATGGGAAACCTTCGGAAATTCTGAATACATAGATTCTATGTTCTATGACTCGTACTTGGATCTCAGATTAAAGTAAAAGGGTACTTATTCTGATTTTTAAGGGGGAAAAAAAGCGTTGGGAGGTGGACGGAAACTATTAAAAATAAATAAATTGTAGGAGTTTTTCATATTGTATGACATATTATGAACACCATGCAATAATACTAAATGTATGGAATTTGATAAGCGGGAAGAGTGTTTTGTTTTTCCTAAGAAGTCTGCTAAGTTACAAAGAACACCTTAATTCGAAACGTTAATCCGATGTTAGACACCGTTTGCTATTATGGCAGGATAGTGCTTTTTAAATTATTATTTTTTTTGAATCATTTTGATGACATAAATTTAAAAATCAATTTTAAAAATATTATTTTAATATATTTTCAAATAAAAAACATTGTAAACGCCAACATCTCAATATATATCTCGAAATACATGGTTAATTGATTCATCCGTGTCTTATATGATTTTCTTTTATATATTCCTTCTTCTTTTTTTTTTCCTGTATGTGGTCATTTGTCACTTTCACTTCTGGATGAAAATGCTCCTATAATGACAAAACAAAGAAGAAGAAGAACAAATTCTCAATGCTCTCTTTAGAAAATTGAAAATCTAGGAAAAAAATCCGAAAAAAAGGTTGGCTCTACAGCAACACTAAGAGAGACTGACACCCAATCTTTGACAATCTCAAGGACGTGTCTCACTATGGAATTGGTGCATCCAAGAAAATGTATTTTTATGAATGTTAATCAAGGTTAGAATTTTATAAATTAGTCACCAAACAAGTTATGAAAATAAATAAATAAAAATATGTTTATGAAAATAAATAATGTAGATATGTTACCTTAACAAGTTAGCTGGGAGACAAAATCCCAAGACATGCAGCCATATAAAAGATACTTACTTGTATGCTTTAAAATATTACCACTCAACATGTGGAAGGTAAAATAAAATAAAAAATGCTAGATATATAATTCAGTAAATTTAAAATTTTTATATTTATTTTCTTATTAATGACATGAGCATGGGGGTGTGATATGGAAAAGGGATGAGAAAGAAAAAAAGATAAATAATTCGGAATAGAATTACCTTATGGCCCGTGAATGAATAACCCAAAAGGCCCATCATCCAAAGGCCTAGAGACAGCAAAAGACGAATGGGGAAAGCAGGCCTCTATTTGTTTCCTTATTCATAAATGATCGCAAAACAGAACGAACAGTGCACGTCTCCTGAGCCTGAGGGATTCAACAAACAGAGAATTAAATAATAAAACAGAGAAAGTTGCCTTGTGTCTTCAAGAAAAGCAAAGCCTGCAGAGAGAGATGGGTAAATGGTGGAAAGTAGCAGCTGTGATTGGGCTGGTAGCTATAGCAAGAGAACTGAGCAAACAATTCGGATGGGACAAAGACGCAGCTCTTGAGCTACTTGGTGAATGGTCAGATCGATTAGGGGTTTGGGCAATGCCTGTTTACGTTGGGATTCACACAATCACTCTCGCTCTCTGCTTGCCTTGCGCTGTTTTTTTCGAGGCTGGTGCTTCTTTGCTGTTTGGATTCTTGCCTGCTGTTCTCTGTGTCTTCTCTGCCAAGGTCTTAGGTGCCTCTCTTTCCTTCTGGATCGGCAGGTACATCAAAATGTCTTCATTTTTTTTTCCTTTTTATTTGATTGGTTCCCAGATCGCGTTTTCTTATGTTTCTATCTACTGGTTCCTTTATTAATACAGTGATGGTTTTTTTTTTTTTACTTGGAAACATTAAAATGAAACCATGCGGGTCTTCTGTAAGATGATTAATGGGTAATTAATGTTGAGGTGATTGGATTTTACCAAAAATGTTGGGGAAATTCCAGCTTCTTGTTGTTGTTGTTGTTGTTGTTGCTATTTTAATACCTTTTCAGGCTACCTGCTAGAATTATCATGGTACATTGTATCAGTCTAGATGAATCTTCTGTTCATTTTTACCAGTTTTGAAGTGATGGGGTAGAGTTCAAAGTGAATTATAGTGAGTATATAATATATATGCTCGTTCAAATTTATTTCTATGCATGAATGTGATTAGACTTTTCATTGCTCTTTTGTTTCCTCTGGCACGCATTTCTTAAAGCTTTTTCTTCCGGATAGTCATCGAGTGATAGGGGATTCGTGTGTTTATATTTTTGATTTATCTTATCCTTTTCTGGGCTCCTTTGTCTTTGAATGTAGGTGCTGACTGACTTGCCTATGAAATTTAGAAGAGGTTATTGGCATATTCATGATATGGTGCGGTTGATAAATAGGCAAACATTTATCAGAATAATAAAATTGATGTGGCAGGTTTGTCAAAGGTGTAAACTAATGATGTAATATGATCTAATATTTTCTTCTACCAAATAGGGTAGGAGGAAAATGAAAATGAAATTACAAATAGTGGGGAAGTTGAAAAATTTGAGTGAATGGAGGGATTTTTATCTGCAGAATCTCTTACACTGACCTTTTCTGCTATCTTGGATCAAGAGAAAGACATTTAGGACTTGCTATAAACTATATACACATGGTATGAAATATGCACGAAATGGCACATGTAAAAGCAACCGTACTATTGAGACAATGAAACAGCTCACAGATACTGCAATAAATCCAAGCTCACTTGCATGAATACACCCCAAGTACTGGCTTATGCTTGGTGGCACCTTGTACACGCATGGCTTGGTATGTCATGCTCACACTCAAGGATGGGGTACCTCATCTGGGAACTAATTCCATGCTTATTGATGCTGTGATCAATTAAAATAACAACTTTGAAATGTATTTAATTGTCAATAGAGAAACAAAGTTTGTTAATGGTGAAAAGTCAGAAAAAACAGTAAGTGGATGGAAATTAAAATTGCAGAGGATCAACATTTTAATACGCAGATCTGTCATAGGTTCTATGTCTCAATACAATAGTTTTTTGTCAGGTTTAGTACAATAACAGTGTTTTAGTTTTATTAGTACGAGAAATAAAATTCTATATGCAGGGCGCTTTTCAATGTTTGGGTTTCAGTTGTTTTGCTTTATGGATAATAGGTCCTTTTTTGCGAGTCTAGTCAAGCATATCATCACTTGGTTTTTTTAGGCTTATTTAGGTCATCAGAAAGTGTTTTGCTTATAGATGCTGTGATCAATTAAAATAACTATGAAATATATTAAATTGTCAATGGAGAAACCAAGTTTGTTAATGGTGAAAAGGCGGAATAAGCAGTAAGTGGATGGGAATTAATATTGTAGAGGATCAACATTTTGATACGCGGATCTGTCATAGGTTGTGTCTCAAGACAATAATTTTTTATCTGGTTCAGTACATTAACTATGTTTTAGTTTTATTAGTATGAGAAATAAATTTCTACATTTAGGGTGCTTTTTAAAAATGTTTGGGTTTCGGTTGTTTTACTTTATGGATAATAGGTCTTTTGTTGTGAGTCTAGTCAAGTATATCATCACTTGGTTTTGTTTAGGCTTAGTTAGGTCATCAGGAAGTGTTCTTCCTAGTAATATGCTCATCACAGTTTCTTGTTGAATTGTAATATAGGTTTTAGGAAATTCCACTAAATTTTTTTTCCATCAAATAAATCCTAATTTTTTGGAGTTGTTCCTACAGTGAACACTAAAATCATCACCTTTTGCTGAATATTAAAGCTATGAAAGCAGATGAAAGTAAAATCTTTGAAGATCGTTTCCTCGTATAGTTGAGTAGGATGATTGAAGAGCAGAAATCTAATAGGGACTTCATACTTTGTGGTGCATGTTGTGCAATCAAGAAACTTGTCTTGAATAATTTCCATCATAGAAGTTTAGATTGATGACTTGCAACAAGAGAACATGTAATATAAGAAATGGAAAAATGAACCCAGTGAAACTATTTAAGTTCACAGCAAGAGGACATGCAATATAAGAAATGGAAAATGAACTCAGTGAAACTTTTCAAGTTTTTCTTGTTTTTATAGCTAAAAGATTGAGTTGCAGTCATGTGTACTAAAAGGAAATGGTCAAGACCAAAAAAAGCTTGTGAGGAGTTGGTGAAGACATGAGAACTAGAGCTTAGTGCCTTACCAACATAGATGTTCCCCACTTTGATATTTATTGCCGAACTCTCTTTCTCTCTGGTTTTTGTTTACTAGTTTCAGGATCCATTTTGACATTTCGAATTTTTTCAGGCTGGTTTTCAGGAGTTCCAGTTCAGCAATGGAGTGGGTGCAGAGTAACAAATATTTCCATCTCCTTTCCAGAGGAGTTGAACGAGATGGATGGAAATTTGTTCTTCTTGCACGCTTCTCACCCATGCCCTCCTATGTTATAAACTATGCTCTAGCTGCTACAAAAGTTGGGTTCATGGTTGATTTTCTGCTTCCTACAGTTGTTGGCTGCTTCCCAATGATCCTACAGAACACATCCATTGGTAGCCTTGCTGGAGCTGCTGTTGCTTCAGCATCTGGCTCTAAAAAATCTCAGGTTTGGTCTTACCTATTTCCTTTACTTGGGATTGTATCAAGTATCCTTATTTCCTTGAGGATAAAAAAGTACTCTACTGATATAACATTGGCCGAATCCTCTACCGGTGATTCTCCCCATACCTCTAGTAAAAAAGGAAGCAAGGGCCTAAAGACAAACGTCAATAAAGGACTCCAGTAGTGCCTATATACTTGTTTAGTTTTTTCATTATCCTCTTACTGAGCAAAGATTTAGAATATCTGATCCATTTTATTGCCTGCTGACCCATTTTAGTTGTAATTTGATGCCTTCTGGCCATCCCTTTCTTTCTCTTGAAACACTGAGAGATCTTATGTTGGAAGCTGACCAAATGGATTATTCAGTTGTCTTTAGAGAAGAGGTAACTTAAACTCAGTAATTAGCTATCAGTACACAGTGCATTTTGGCCATGTCATGATGCATCATCATATTCTATTTCCCTGTTATTGTATTCCATCTTTGGATATTGTTTTCTAATTTTCTGTGGAGAACAAAATACAAATGATGAGCATACTGTATTTCACCTGACTTTTCTTTTATGCATTACCTTGCACCATGGAATGTTATGATTCTGCTTTAATCATAATCTCTTTTGGTGTGATTTAAATTTCCTTCCGAGAAGTTTATTTTCGGTGTGGTTGTGATGCTTTATTGTGTTGCATAGTGGCCATTATCACTTGCATGCTTAGCTATCTCTTGGCTTTCTTTGAGCATATATCCCTTCCCATTCTACAGAGGGTAAGCTATATTTTAGGCCCCTTCACCCCCTGCCGTTTTTTTGACCTTTTTCTTTTTTGGGTTAGATGATACATAGTGTCTTTTGTACTGTAATTAAATTTTGGCTGTTGTTTTTTAAACTAAATGTTTAGTCCTCGTGTTTCAGTTTTGTCTAAGATTTTAGTCATGTTTTCAAATCGCGCACAAAAAATCTTTGATGAATCACATGAATCTGGAACTTCAAACTTGATTCTTTTATTGAAGGACCACTCTTTCTGGTTCAAGTGGAAATGTAGAAATTATCATGCAGGTTTAAGTTCATGCGTATGTTGATAAGGAGATACTAAAATTCAAGTTTAAAAATTGCTTGGGTAATCTCACCAGAACTTGATTTTTCACCACCAAAATACATGGACTAAAATAGAATCTAGGATGTACCTCTGATTGTATTGCGAAAGTGAGGTGATTATATTTTTTAACCCAGAAAAAAAAAATGCCCCCCCGCCCTTACCCTAAAATGGATGGTGTCAGTCGATAGCAGGACCTTGTCAGTGTGATTAAACTGTTCAGCCCGATCCGTCCAGAAAAAAAAATCTTTTATTATTGGATTGCGAAGTAAGTAGGAGAGATCTGGATGGATTATGAGTATTTCAAACTGTTGTGGTTTCTAATAAATTAAAAATTGAGCTGGGATATGTTTAGCAAATTCAGTTGATCACTTGCCCAAGTCATGGATCAATGGCTAGGACAATCTGATCTAATCTGTCAAATTCATAGTCATTTTGTTGATCCCATTTTTCCAGGAGTTTGTGTGGCGCAATTGAGAGGAACATTGCTTGAATTGAAATCTACTTTTCCTTTCATTCAATGTCTATCCAGGAGATGTTGGATCCAAATCCAATTCTCTTCCAATTGATCACGCAAACCCTTTTGTTCTATCTGCAAACCCTACCTTACTTGTAACTGAGGCTGTCCTAGGCTATTTTCGGCAGATAGCACTCCTCTTTTTTTTCTTTTTTCTTTTTCTGTTTTTTTTCCCCTTTATTGGTTTCTTCTATATATCATGGGATTTATCTTTCGCTTAATTTTTATAATGGAAGTTGAAGTGATGTATAGAGTGATAAATATTTTAAGTGTAAAGAATGAAAAATATTTTTTTTCTAAAAAAAATAAGGAGCAAAAAGAGAATTTTTTTACCGAAGAATAAAGATAAAAATAAAATGGTGATAAATAAATCAAGTGTAAAATGATGAATATACCAGGTATATAAAAAAAATCCACCTTTATAATATAGAAAAATCAAAATTCTAAATCAAATAGGAAAGACAACTTAAAATCTGAAATTAAGCTAAAATCCCAAATAAAAAAGAAAAATAATAAAATTGGCTAAAACATCTTTCAAGGTCTTCTAATTTGATAAATTTTGAGTTTGAGTCAACTATCAAAGAAGAAATTATGGGTTATTCTTATCAGGTTGCATGAACAAGCTTCTTCTTAGGTTTAACTCTATTCTGCTGCTGGTTCATAAATGAATTTACTAAGCTTTATGCATGATTCACTACTGGTGGTGGTGACAAATCCATAATTCCCGGTTCAAAACTATCAAATTCTACAAACTTGTCTACATCAATTTTTAATTTCAAAACACCCTTCAATAAGTTTAAAACCCTGTAAAAAATGATTCAAAACAAGCACTTTGAGTTACAATCTACATATTTTTGGAATCTTTAAATGAGAAAGCTACCTTCATGGAGCTCCTCTCTCCGAGATGTACTCATCAACTAGATTGATATTTTTATGATCAGAATGTGACCGGCTAATTTTTTTTTTATCAACTTTCTCTCTCTCTCTCTCTTTTTTTTTTATCATAGAAGGGAGAGAGCTTGAAAAAACTAATTTAGAATTGAAATGTAAAAACCAATAAGAAAAAAACAATTTAGGGATCAAACTATATTTTAATATGCTAAAACACAAAATGGATGCGTAGTGCAGTCCACATTGCATTTGACTCACGAGGAACACTGGAAAACACCGTAGAAATGCTCCAATTCTTTGAGTTTATAATATTAGCTGGTGCACTTGCATTCCGCTGCAAGTATAATTTTAAATTAATTTTTAACTATATAACTATATTTTCTTATATCATAAAATCTATTAATTAAGAAAAGAAAAGATGATATTTACGCTTTATAAAATTAATTGAAAAATATATAAATTGATGAGTTAGAAAAGTGTTGTCAAAGCTAATAAAGACTCGTGCGGGAAATTCAACTTGTAAGAAGCCAAATATATATGCACATGCAAAAGTTTTAACTCGATTGTCCTTGCTATTTTATACATTTTTTATTATTATTTATCTTCAATGTTAATTCTGGTCGCTAATGACATATTATTTTCATTCTTATAAATTTACTATAGAAACATAATTTATTTATCTAAAATTTAAGAGGAAATAAATTTAAAGATGAATTACATTAATCTTTTTGAAGTATTATAAAATTACACAAACAATCCAAGAGGTCATGGGCACACACATGATTTTTTTAAAATTTTTTTTAAGGAATTGTTTATGTTAGATTTTTGTTAAAAAAATTAAAGGATAAGAGATGGGTGAACGGCAAAACATCCACTGTTTTTAGTTTACCAAATAGCTATAAATTAATTATATAAATGCAATATAGATTCAAGTAATAGTAGCCCTGGGTATATATTTTATTTTGCAGTTTCTCTCTGCGGCTCTTTGTATGTTTACGTATTACTTTGAATATTTCCCGAAGATCTTCTTCAATTCGACCATCACACCTTTTTCTCAAATAAAACAGAACAGGAAAAAAAATGATACATCTCCATGAAATTATTGTTCGGTATCCCAAGTCAGAGGACTTGTATTCAAGCTTGGTTGATTAGCATACTGAAAGTGCGGAGAATGTTTAGTTTTTCTGCGGTCAATAGACTTCGATTTTACTGGAATATTGAACAGGTTCGTCAATGTTTTCTTCTTGTAAACGCAGCAGAAAGCTTCAATTGAAAAGGCCTTTCACAGGAGTGTTTGAAAATACTTCCTTTGCTGTTGTTTTCCCTTAACAGAACATATACCGTAAATTATTCTTCATTGTTTGTTTTTTACATATGTTATATTTGAATCCATACAAAGAGAAAACTCTCAAGGAAAATTTATATTTCATTGGATCAAACATATGTGCTCTCTCTCTCTCTCTCTCTCTCTCTCTCTATATATATATATATATATATATATATATATAATAGGCATGGATTATAATAGTGGTATTATGTTTTTGCCTAGAAAAAAAACCATTTGAATTGGCCTACGAGGATAGATTTGTATTTTCATAGGATTTATTTGTCAATTTATAATTATTAAGGGATATTTTTGTTTTTTATTAATTTTTATATAATGCATTTACTTTAGCACCATTAAAAGAGAAATTCCACTTAACTATGACTAGAGCTATTTTTGGTTTTTTCACCTTTTTAAGAACAATGCAATGATTATACAACCCTTGAAATGAACAATGCATTGGTGGACCCTTTTTTATCTTTTTTTTTTTTTACCCTGAAAATTATAATTTAATTGTCTTTGTTGATGGTATTTAATTTTAATTTTAATTTTTAATTTTTTAATTTTTTATAAAATTTTTATTTATTTTTAATTTTATCCGTTAATTTTAATTTACAAGTATTATATTTTTTAATTTGTTTCTTATTCTTTTGATTTTTATTTTTTCTTGGTCTTTTTATAAAAATTTTATCTATTTTTAATTTTATCTTTCAATCCAAATTGATAATATTGTATTTTTTAATTTGATCCTTATTATTTTAATATCTATTTTTTTCATTCTTTTTTAAAAAGTTATTATTCATTTCAATTTTATCCTTCAATCATAATTTGTTTTTACTTTCTATGTTATTTTTTTTTTATTTTTGGTTTTTTTGCTAAATTAATTTTTTTTAGTTTCATCATTTAATTAAATATAAGATTTATTTGGTATTTGAATTTCGATTCTCATTCTTTTAATTGCAATTTTTAAATCATTTTGTATAATTAATTTTTTTTAAAAAATTTATTCTTTAATATTTAATTGATTGAAAATTAAACTTTATAGTTTTTTTAAATATGGTATTTCAGGTTTAATGACTTAAGTCATGGATTTGTAAAGTTAGCAAGATTTTATTTTAAATTTTATTTATAATTCTCTTTATTTTTTATTAGATTATTTTAATTTTATAATTTGAGCCACGAATTTAAAGGGATATCTCAAATTGGTTAGACTGTGGTTACTAAATTTACAAGTTTGCTATACTATGTTATCTAGAACAAGTTTTTTATGCTATTTTATGTTTTTGTATTTAATGAATTGTAAATTAATATATATTATTTGTTATCTTTCAATAAAGAAATTTCATCAAGTTATCCTATCAATTTTTTTAAAAAATTGATTTATATCTTACTGTATTTTATTTAATTAAATTAAAGCCAGTTTATTTGACTTAATTAGTCATGTAACTCTAGGAGCGTCTCTTTTTTTTTTGTTAGATTAACGTGGGTGTCCGGGCCAGCTTGCGCATACCACGACTAATCTCACGGGCCTTGAAGTTAATGATCATGTAAACCTGCAGTGGCCATCATATAAGTAACCAAGAACTCGAACCTGAAACCACAGAAAGAACAAACCTCTTGATCCCAAGTTTTTACCACCTGATCACTATCTAAAT